CAGATTATAATCCAACTGTCAGAGAGTGATAATCCATCCACCAGACAGATTATAATCCATTTGTCAGTGAGTGATCCTTGGATTGTAATCTGTCATCCAACCACAGCATAAATTATAATCCAACTGTCAGAGAGTGATTGTTGGGTTGTAATCTGTCATCCAACCACTGGACAGATTATAATCCAACTTTCAGACAGTGATCATCCAATCACAGGACAGATTATAATCCAACTATTAGAGCGTGATCATCCAACCACATGACAGATTATAATCTAACTTTCAGAGCAAAAGTTTTTCGATATTCTGTTAAAGTTTAAATAAAACCAGTTTCGCAACTGCAGTGTTTCCATTAAGTAAGAAATGTTATTAAAATCACGGATGAATACGCTTGTTCTCGTGATACGTTGTTACAAATATGGCGATAACGAATGTAAACACATAGCATGTTGCTACCGCGACACTAGCGCTCATCATCAGCCCTCAGAGGAGACGTCCGCGTCTTACCAAGACTTTCCAGAGACAAGTCCCTTATGCTTTGGAGCGGCTACGTATGCTGCGTTTTTTGGAAATTGTAGTTGGTGATTTTACTACTTTCTTTTACTACTTTGGTGATTTTACTACTTCTTCTTCTGCTTCCAGTTGTCTTCTGCTTCGTCATGTTTTCGCCAGTAGAAACGTCCAGTTGATGATCACGTGAGTCCCGTGATGCGAAAAAAGTGTTCCCACTGCAGTTTTGCGAAATACACCAATTTCGATACGGCCGAAAAAACAACTCATCCTAGTGCAAAAACATTTTATTGAAAAACACGTTTTTTCGAAATTGACGTGTTTCCATTGATCAAATTTATTTTTGAAATTCTATTTTGCGCATTTCCTTGGTGAATGGAAACGCAGCTAGAGAATGATCACTGGATGAATGTCTACAACTGATGAACTCGAGGTCGTTCCAAATCAAGATGATCGAAACAATGTAGCCTTTAAAACACAAATATGACTACAACTCAGTCAGTTTTAAATATTGGGCTAAATTTGGGAGTGGTAGTAGCTGAGAGTCATCACTACCAGTTTATTCTCTAAGAAAACAACATCCTGAGCTTTGTTGTTTCTTGAAATAAAACCTCCTGATGACAGTGGAGACACTGCGGTGGGACACGTGGAGACACGTGGAGACACGTGGAGACACGTGGAGACACGTCTGCTAACAGAATTAATTACTAGCAGCTAACGATGATCCTCACATTTTGAGCCCAGAGCTGAGCCGTGGACATGATGAGACACCGCAGAGATGAAAATATCTTTAAACRCGCAATCCTCCCGATAACTAAAGGGCACAGCTCCTCAAAACTACCAGGAGTCCCGGATATGATCCAGACAAAAACCATGTGTGACCTTTGACCTTGATTTATGACCTTGACCTCAGAGCTGATGGGGTGAAAAGATTACGCACCGGCCTCTGAGTTGATAGAAATGTGGATCAAGTTTACTGTTGGAGATTAAACCGTTAAAGACAAATTCACCTGCAGTAGAAGAACATCCAGTTTTTACTTTATGGATACCATCAGAACTTTTCTAACAATCTAACAGTCACTGACACAATCCCGGTCTTGTACAGATTCTGAGAGGTTTCAAAACAACCGGAGCTAATCCGTGTTTCCTCCTGATCAACATGTCCGGATTTTACCGGAGACCACGGTAACACGACGAGTGAACTCTGAACTCCAGGAGACTCTCAGGAGGATTGACTTGGTCTGGTCCAGATAGTCCAGAGTAATCTAACACTTGGTCTGGTCCAGACTAATCTAACACTTGGTCTGATCCAGATAGTCTAGAACAATCTAACACTTGGT